AGCTCACTTGTCGTTGGAAAGTGAGTGCCGCACAATCGCTAGTCCGCTGCCTTTAAAAGTGCGATTGTGTCAAGTGGTATCAGAGCTTTGTTAGCTCCGTGACACAGTAAAGACCGAAACCATGTCGGCAACAAAGTCGACACCCAAAGCACAAGTCAACCGGCTTACGCTAATAGAGGAGGAAATGTCGCACGGGTGACCGAATTGAGAGAGAAAGTCGTAGAAATAGACGCAATGGGCAACCACTTGGATGGGTTGCCAATCGCAGAATTGATGTTTCGAGTGACCTCGCTCGAAGAAAGAGTTGCTCCTACGAGCAGCCCAAAACCGTTTGGTAGTCTGGATATCTCTGTTACGCACAAGGAGAGACGTGGTGAAGAGTTCGACGTGCTACAAAATACAATGATGAGCTTGTTCAACGGATTAGCTGATGAATTCCAAACAACAATCGGCGACATCCAAGAAAGGATGGCCTCCATGGGCACTCGAATTGAAGTGACCATGAAAGCCATGGAGAACGTCACGGCTGGGCAAACTAATACAGGGTCCAACAAACTAAGATTCCCAGATCCTAGAGCCTTTAAAGGGAATCGGGATGCCAAAGAGTTGGAAAACTTCATCTTTGATGTCGAACAGTACTTCAAAGCCACAACCACTTGTACTGACGACAAGAAGGTGACTGTAGCTCGATGTTCCTATAGTTTCTAAACAATATTACCCACAAGTGCTATGAAGGAATAGGTTTCGGAAAGTGCCTAGAAACCATTCCCCCAATCCAATCCGCCATTAAAGAGCTTCAAGGAAAACTCAAAATTCAAATAAGAGGATACACAAAATTCGTCGAGCAAGAATGATCTCAATAAGTTTCTGCACCTTCAAGGAATGTTTTCATTGAAGACCACGAAGAGAAATAACCTCAGAAAAGTTTCCAATTGAAGAAAATTCGTTTCATGTTCAAATTGTGGGTAAGTGTCGAATTCCTATCTATGACCTCTTTTCCTTCAAATTAAGGATTCCTTTAGCTTAAGAGGAAAAAGATGAGTAACTTTGATGAAGGAATCAAGAGCTGAAACGTCTAAGAACAAGATACCTAAGAGATTGAAAATCGGAGGTGTCATGTAACTTGCAGACCGAGGGTGATTTCTCAAAATTAAGGTCCCACACTAAAAGATGTTCCTCGAAACCAATTTCTTAAGCTTGAGGAAAGAATAAGAAAGAAGTTCCATGAAGAAATCGAGCCTTGAAAACCCTTAGAATCGGCTACCCAATAAGAAATCCTTTGTTTTTACTCCAGCGAGAAATTATATTTTGGACGAACTTTGGAAGCGAATATCTTAGGCTACGATCCACGAAAAGGTATGAAATCAATCCATAGCTCTTCCTTGTAATACCCTCTTTAAGTTTCATGAAGAACTCGAGGGGAGAAACGGCGTGATCGGAGCTGGGGAGGGCGACTTTCAGACGGTGGCGCGAAAGATCACGCACGTCTTCTTCCCGTCTGGAGGAAGAAGACGATGACGTGGCCAGTTCAGTTGAACCGGCCATGTCAACCAAAAACTCGACCCCACGATTTTTCTAAAATTTAACCCCCTTCCAGAATGGTTCTCAAAAAAATCTTTATGGTTCCAAAACTAGACACAATAAGGAGTCTGTGGAAGAAAATTTAAGGTAATTCAGGTATCGGAAGATCATGAACAGAGGTCCTGAACGTCGACAACGAGGTAAGTAGCCACCTTGCACTTTTTTGTTACGAAATACTTGTAGGAATCGCTTGGATTTCCATATGAACCCTAAAACAAATATGAATTTAGGATATATGAAAGAAAAGCTCAAAGAACCATGAGTTAACGCCCTAAATCGATCAAAATGCTCGGGAATTAGGCTACGTTAAAATAACCGACTAGATGAACTCTGCTCTAATTGCCAATATATATATATATATATATATAAATAATGAAATAAATAAAGAAATAAAGAAATAAAGAAATAAAAATAATTATAAAAAAAATGAAAATGGCCTTTATGGAGTTGAGATTCATGGGAGATTTAAGTGAAGATAGATTTGAACAATAAGGTATATATTAAATCTTCGTTTTCTTTTATCCTATTCTTTTTAGTTTTTTTTAAGAAATCATAGCCAATTATAGTTAGATTTTCATTAAATTATTATAATCGTTTAGTTTTGAGTTAGAAACTAAATGTTAGTCATTTATACGAATTCTAGTAAATCACGTTATATTAGTAATATTAGACTAAATTTATATCCGTAGCAAATGAATAGATTAAAAATAAAATGACCAAGAAAATTTGTGAACAAAAGGAAACACCAAGATAAGGAAAGATTTGGAAATAGGGATCCACTATAAATTTGGAATACATGAGAACAAAATTAGAAGGCAACAGAGTAAATACCCATTAAGAAAAAAGGAAGATTCTGTAATTAAAACATAAGCTAAATAAAAAAGCATAAACTAAATACAGAAAAAAGTAAATATAAGAGTAGACCCAAGTAATAATTTTATAGTATTCAAACTTGAAATTGATGTCATGGGCTCAAATAGGTTTACAGATTTCAAAGGACATAATCGAACTTTTATTAAGGATATATTCGTGACAACAACTTAAGTTAACCAGGTAAGTGGCTTTACTATCGGCATGGTTATATTTGATTTTGACACGTGCCTGTGGTTCTGCACGTGTCATATATACTGATATGTGTGAATTATCTGTGACTCAATATGCTTATATTATGTTTATGTTATGCTATAATATGAGAATTGTATGATAATATTTATGGTGTGATGTGTTCAATGATATGTTTGATATATGATACGAGAAGGATGCACTAAATGTAATGTAACGATAGAAGTAAGATGTATTCACGAAACATTAAGGTTAGGTTACGCCTCGAAGTGCTATGGATATGAGAGATTGATAAAAGAATATGGTTAGGATATGGGTAGAAAGAACTCCCTAGGAATCTATGACCTTCTAGAACAACTTACGCTAAGATGGGTTCATATGATTACAAATGAAAGTTACAACTTATGCCCCAAGAAATTATGAACATTAGAAACTTACAAGATTGAGGATCAAGAACAACACCACACAAACTTTACAACTACCCAAGTAAGAAGAATGCTAGGTACCACTCAAGGACGAGGGACCAAGGTCCCCAAACTAAAAAACACAAGAATGCTAGGTAATACTCTAACCATGCCCAAAGTGACCTATGCCCTTGCATCAAGCGGTGCTTTCTAAGGCCCTAAAATTCCTCTTCTAGGTGGGATGACCTGCACCATGTTTCCTTTGCAAGATGTCATGTTTGGCCTCAAGTTTCCCTCACCTAGAAGAGAAGTTATGGGTACCAAAAAGATTTGCAGGATGACATATTTAAGTATGCACCGAGCTAGTGACCTTTATGGTCTACCATGAAGAGTAGTCTAGGGCCACGAAGGAACAAGAAGCGAGTAAGTTACCTTAGCCAAGAATCAAGAACCTCTTAAGACCTCCCACGGTTCAACATTCTCATTTCTTAGACTATGCTAATCAACAACTGAATTTCACACCACCAATTAAACGGTAATCTTTAACCATCACAAAAACCATAATCAAACAGTATAAAACTTAAGC